GTGTTGGGATTGCAAAGGGAGTCATCATCACATCTGGCTTTCATTGTTTGTGTGTTATGGGGGCAGGAATTCTGGGGCTTGACTTCAAGGTTTTGAATGCTGAGGATATCTTACCTCTTACATTCATGTTTTTAAATTATTTATGATGTGCATTGGTGTACATTTGTGTCTGTGTAAGGGTGTCAGATCCCCTGGAACTGGACTTACAGCCAGTTGTGAGCTGCCATGTGGGTGCTGGGAATTGAACCCAAGTCCCCTGGAAGAGCAACATCTGAGCCGTTTTTCCAGCCCCTTGTTGTGCACTTTTATATTCATGTTCACTTAACTGTTATAATACTGTAAAGTGTTTTTTGAGGAGGGTTGGATTCAAGACAGGGTCTCTAGCCGTGGTTGTCCTTGATATCTCTCTCTCTCTCTCTCTCCCTCCATCCCTCCCTCCCTCCCTCTCTCTCCCTCCCTCTCTCTCCCTCTCTGTAGACCAGGCTGGTCTCAACTCAGAGATCTGACTGCCTCTGCTTCTCCAGTGCTGGGATTAAAGGCGTGCCACACCAGTAGCCCACCTTGTTTTTTGTTTAAGAGCAAAACTTCCCCAAAAGTTAGTACCATTGCAGTGGAGTTAAAGTGTAGCATAATACATGGACCCAAACAAGGTAGTGCATAGCTGTAATCCAGCACCAAGGATGCTAAGACAAAAGATGTTGATTTCTTTTGAAACAGGTTGGGAAAGCAGATGGCCTAAGTAGGAGTTTGTTTGATTATGCTGATCTCCATGAATTTTTGACTTAGGCTATCTATGTGCCTGCTGATGACTTGACTGATCCTGCCCCTGCAACTACCTTTGCCCATTTGGATGCCACTACTGTGTTGTCTCGGGCTATTGCTGAGCTGGGCATCTATCCAGCTGTGGATCCTCTGGACTCCACCTCTCGAATTATGGATCCAAATATTGTTGGCAGTGAGCATTATGATGTTGCGCGAGGGGTGCAGAAGATCCTGCAGGTGAGTGCCTCACGTCAGGAGGACTGGATTTTCTCCAGTCATTTGTGGGATTTGTTCTGGAGCAAGAAATGTTGAGAATGGGTTTTTACTGCTGGTGAGGTTCCTGATTTCAGGGTATTTCGCCTTTAGAATCCAGTTTTTCTAATGTACTTAATCAGGACTAGGAAGAACCAGACACAAATCTCAGCCAGGGCTCACTTGGAACTTTTCTAATAGTTGGAAATTAAAGGAATTGACTCTGTCCTTTTCATCTTGTTTTCTTTTAGGACTACAAATCTCTCCAGGACATCATTGCTATTTTGGGTATGGATGAACTTTCTGAGGAAGATAAGCTGACTGTATCCCGGGCAAGAAAAATACAGCGCTTCTTGTCTCAGCCATTCCAGGTTGCTGAGGTCTTCACAGGACATATGGGAAAGCTGGTGCCCTTGAAGGAGACCATTAAAGGATTCCAGCAGATTTTGGCAGGTGAGATTTTTCTACCAAGCGAACCATAAAAATGTTTGAAAAATTGAAGCCCAGAGTGAATATTCTTTGTGGTATATTGTATCCCTTTCACTAAAAAGAGCATTACCCTGCTTTGGTAACAGCACAGAAATTTTTTTTGTCTTTTTGAAACAGCATTTCTCTGTACCTTTGGGGCCTGTCCTGAAACTCACTCTGTAGACCAGACTAGCCTCAAACTCACGAGATCTGCCTGCCTTTGCCTCCCGAGTGCTGGGATTAAAGGCAGGCGCTACCACCACCCAAATAACATAGAAAATATTAAACTGCCCCATGACACTGAGCCAGAGAGTAAGACTTTGAACTCAGGTGCTCCAAGTTTATTTATGTGTATGTTTTTCGGTGCTTATATGCCTTAATATATGTATGGTTGTGCATGTGAGCTCCCCTGAACAGCCAGTGGAGGCCAGAGGGTTACAGGTCAGGGCTTCTCTGTGTGACCCTGGCTGTGCTGGAACTGGCTCTATAGACTAGGCTAGCCATGAATCCATAAATCTTCTGCCTCTTCCAAGTGCTGGGATTAAAAGGTGTACAACACAACGCTTGGCTTAATTATGTGGGCTATTTTTTTGTTTGTTTGTTTTTTGTTTTTTTTCTAGACAGGATTTCTCTGTGAAACAGTCATAGCTTTCCTGGAATTCACTCTGTAGACCAGGCTGGCCTCAAACTCACGGAGATCCAACTGCCTCTGTCTCCCAAGTGCTGGGATTAAAGTCATACGTCCCCACTGCCCAGCCTTAATTATGTCTCTTTGTCCTATGTCTTGTCTTAAATTCTACTTGGAAGGGGGCAGGTGTAGCGGTGCACACCTTTAGTCTCAGCATTACTCCCCAAATTTTTTTCCCGTGAGACAGGATTTCTCTGTGTAACAGTTCTAACTGTTGTGGAACTCGCTATTGTACACCAGGCTGACCTCGAACTCATGAAATTTGCTTGCCTCAGCCTCCCGAGTGCTGGGATTAAAGGCATGTGCCACCACCACCTGGCTTGGCTTCTGTGGGTTCCAGGCCAGCCAGGGTTAAGTAATGAAAACTTGTCCTACAAAACAAAAAGTAAATTTCACTTTGAAGTTTAGCACAGTTTCCTTGGATGAAGAATTCATCCATCTGGCCCATGGCCTCCTTTGCTGAGGTTGTATTTACTGTGGAACATTGATGTAACTCCACTTCTTACTAATTGTATTTTCCCCGTGTAGGTGACTATGACCATCTCCCAGAACAAGCTTTCTATATGGTGGGACCCATTGAAGAGGCTGTGGCAAAGGCTGATAAGCTGGCAGAAGAGCATGCATCTTGAGGGGTCCTTTTTCTGCAAACTCACTCTGTACTGTATTCTCCGTGCTGAAAGCTCAGTTTCTGTGTAGGCCACATGAGAGCCTGGTTGAAGATGCCATGTCCCATCTGAAGAGTATTTAAAGTTTTCAATAAAGTGTACACCCCTCATTTGTCTGTCTGTTTTGCTTCTGAAACGGCTTACAGTGCAGTTGACCATGAGAGGTCGAATTTAGTATAGTCAGGTTATATGTTTGTAATAATTATCAAAAATGAAAATCCATTCATTAATGAAATTCTCTGGTCTTGTGGTTAGGGAGGCCTAATAGCCTCAGCTTTGGTTCTTATGGTATTTGTTCAGACAAATCTTGCTTCCAAGTATTTCATATGACTTTTCTTTGTTGTTTATTTTAGTTTTACGAGACAGGATTTCTATGTGTATCTTTGGCCATGCTGGCCTTGAGCTCTGAGATCCGCTTGCCTCTGCCTCCTGAGTGCTCAGACTTTTTTGTTTTTTTGAATCTCACTGGGTAGTCTTGGTTTTGCCTCAGTGATCCTATCTCAGCCTTCCAAGTGCCAAGATTACATATACGCTCCACAATATCCATGCCCCACTCCGTAGCAGAATAAAAGTTTTTGGTTAAAGGGCAAGATGATTTTGTTTGTCTGAGACAGGGTATGGTTATCCTGGATCTCCCTTTATAGCTCCCATTCAGAACCTGCTCCTGCTTCCTAAATGGGATTAAATGCACACACTGGTCTGGTGCAAGCAAGATTTTTGGTTTTTTTGTTTTGTTTTTTGAGACAGGGTCTCTAACTTTGGAGCTTTCCTGGAACTTGCTCCATTCACCAGACTGGCCTTGAACTCCCAGAGATCTGCCTGTCTGTGCTGTGATTAAAGGTGCACACCACCACCTCCCAGAGCAAGATGGTTTCTAATGTCCAGGAATCTCGAAGGAAGAGAGCATCAGTTCCTCTGGAACTAAAGCTATAAACAATTTGAGTCCCACATGGGTGCTAGGTGTTGAACAGCAGTTCTCCAGAGCAGCCAGTGCTCTTAACCACTAAACCCATCTCTCCAGCCTGCAGGATGATTGTTGGTTTGTTTCAAGACGGAGTAAATATTTTAGGAAATATTAAACAGTTGGTCTTCTGGGCCTTCTTCAGGCCTTCATTCTTGAGAAAGTTCCTAAAATGCAGCATCAATATATTTCAACGAGCCTAGACTTGCATGTTTTGTGTTTGAGGTTCTGCCGGCTAAGATCCCTTATGAGAATTCAGGAAGATTTAATGTTACAAGGAAAGACCAATTTTTAGTGTTACTATTGGGGCTTTTGTGCACCTTAGTGCAATATACTAGGATATATTTTGTGCCCTACAGCATGTCTGCCCAGCTAGTGTCCTCTTGTGGCAGCACATACGACTACAAGAACTGTAATCTCACCATTTTGAAATCTATCAAAGGCTATTTGCTAGGAGGTATTTCTGTCATCTAATGACTATTCACAAATGGGCTGGAGCTTTTGTCCTGAGAAAGAGCCTGCATCTATAAGCTCCACCTAGAAAGGTTGTCCACATAGGATGGAAGTTGGGCAGTGACTGCTCAACTCCAATACTCCAATTCTCAGCGCTCTCCACACCCCCCCCCCACCGTGGCCTAAAGGGTTGAGGAGGGGCTCTGGGAGAGGCTCCTTGGGGTGGAGTAGAAGCCTCGAACTTCCTCCTATCTGTCTATGACGTCCTTGACTCCAATCCCGCCCGTGTCAAGATCTGGACAGAAGGTGGCGCCCCTGAGTTGTTTGTGCTTGGTAGTTTGCACTCGGAGAAGCTTAGATTGGGGAAACGCTGTTATGGGGGTGGGGACACCTCCTCCAGCCTGAATAGAGTGGATAAGAAGCTGGCGGAGACCTAAGAGTACAGGTCACCCTTTCTGCTTTGTCACCGAAATGCAGACTTGGAAACGGATCTTCTGAAGGTCATTTGCATCTCGGTGTTCACGTCCTCCAGTATTTATAGAGAACCTTCTGAACCTTTACCTCTCCTTAGCTGCAACTGTTCCCTTCTCCGTTTGCTATCCTCCAAGATCACAGTCCTGGAGTGTTAACAAGAGTTCTAACCTCCATTTTTCTCCTGGTCGGCCCTGTCCTCGCCTCCTCCCTCTCTCCACCCAGTGAAAGCCCCGCCCTTCTCTCCTCCCTCCCACCCCAGTCTGTCATACAGGGACATCACCCTACAGCAGTTCATACTGTGTGGTTCGCAGGAAGCATATATTGGCTTTTTTTTTTTTTTCGAGTTCCCAGCTCACAGTTGGGGAGACCCTAACGCGAGCCTTCAATTGAAGCGAGACCCAAGGACAGTGAGAAGCTGGGTCCTAATCTGGAGTCCTGCCAGCCTGACATGGGTAAGTATGATAGCCGCCCCTGGGAAAGGCCTGAAGGGATGCCTTGCTCCTTCCCCGGCTGACTCAGCAGGGGTGGGGCCTAACCTTTGCTCTTTTGGGGGGTGAAGGAGAGGAAAGGGACTGTGGGGGGACACAGGGCTCAGCTGATGAGCTTCTGGACATGAGACCCTAGCATTGGCAAACAGCTTTAAGGAAGAGCCTGGGGCTGTATCTTGTTAGGGCTTCCTTCCTTCCTCATGAAGCGCCCCCACTGTCCTCTGTCTCCCTACTCCCCCCCCTCCCCCCCACATTAAGCTGCTGAGATTCAGGTAGTATTTTACCGTATTCATTACTAAGTACGGTCTTGGTCCTGCTAGAGAAGCTTCCGCTACCCCTAGTTTCTCTCAAGCCTTTAAACTCCATTCTTTCCTCCTCCCCCATTCTAACCCACCACCAGGTCGGGGCTGCACTGAGCAGCTGCTTCCTGTTGCCCCAGAGGTTGCTGCAAGGGTGGTGGTGGTGGTGGTGGTGGTGGTGGCGGGGGCCAAACTGAGCTATGAATAAAGCCGATTCTCACAGTCCTGCACAGCCTCACTCCGCCGTTGTGGACGGCCTCTACAATACCCAGAGGGTTGACAGACAGGACAGGGAGGGTTTTTGCCTTTGTGGCTTCCTGATTCCAGAGTCTCCACAGCTGTAGTACGGATCGGGCCCGGAAGAAGCATGTTTGCCTAGCAGGGTGCTGTGCGTGACTCTGACATGCTCGGCCTTGAGTTCCCTCTGCTACTCCCCTAGGCCTCCTTGAATCTTTGTGGCTCCCACAGACTTCCCAGCGTCCTTTGTGAAATAAGTCTTTGCTGGCGCCCCGAGAGTGCCCGCAGAGAGAGATCTTCAAGTACTCCAGTTCTGACCCACCGCCATCACCAACTACGTCGTCAAAGTTTGCCTTCTCCTGCATCTGGGATCCTTTCTGGTTCTGGCCCCTAGGAGACGCCACCCGCTTTCCCCTCCCCCAGCGGATCCTTCGCGACAGCCGTCCCTGAGCGCTCGTCCTCACCCGGGTAGCTCCTGCCCCTTTAAGCGCCACCTCCCCCCCTCCACCGCCGCCGGTCTCGGGCTGGGGGAGGAGGCGCCGCCGCCCGGCTCCGCCACCTGCGC